CCCTGCGCTCGTCTCGGGAGAAGCGCTACAGCTTGTCAACAATTTTCTTGATCAGCTGCTTTTCAACTTCCTCTCCAAATCCCAAGCTACTACTCTGGCCAACTTACGACCTGCCGTTTCGGAGGTGTTAAAACCCAAGCTTGCGAAAGATGCCGTCAATAATGCCGACGAGGAGTTACGTGAATACTTGGGCGACGGTGATGAGGAAGATTATGTGCCGCCAACTGGCGACAAGGCGCGTGACTGGGACCTAGAATTGGTTTGGAAGCGTACCCGTCTTAGGTGCATGGTCTACTCTTCCCTAGGCGATATGGAAGAGGAAGACGAGGACCTCTATATGGAACAGGAGAATCTCGAGCTAGGCGCCAACGAGTCTGTCTCCGACGTTATTTCACCAGCTGTTGCAATCTTCCTGACCTCTGTTCTGGAGTACATGGGCGAGCTCACCCTTACTGTCGCGGGACAAGCCGCATACCACAGATTGCGGGCTAAATACCAGAAGGAGATCAACGAAGGGACCCGAAACCCCGTCGATGTCGCCGACCGCATCGTAGTCGAAGAGCAAGACATGGAGAGGGTGGCTCTTGACCGAACACTCGGGCGATTGTGGAGGGGCTGGAAGAAGCGGATACGGTCACCTGTGATCGATCTAAATGGCCGCCCCTTTTCAAGGGCGTCTAATGGCCATTTGAGACAAGACAGTGTGTTCACTGATTCGCCCGCTTTAAGTCGGGTCCCAACCCGTGATGCAGAAGCGGAGGCACAAGCTGAAGCTGTTGATCCAACTCAAGTCGCGCTTCCTATTGGCAGTAATGATGTGGATGAAATCGAGATCCCTGGTCTGGCCTACAATAGCGATGATGAAGACGAGGAATTGGAGGCAGAGGAGGAAGTTGGAGGGCGCCGACCTAAGAGTTTGTTGATCCTGCCCCTGGGAATTATTCAGGGCCTTCCTACCCCAACCTTGTCGCAACCCAATACTCCCGACTTCGCTGGGCGCAAGCGTTCAAACTCTCTTCCAACACCCGGCGCATCACCATATCGTGCTGCTGCCAAGCGATCGAAGGAGAAGGAGGCTGTACCTGTCAAGGCTAGTGTCGTTGAGGAAAAACAAGAGCCTGTCGAAGAAGCCAAGACCGAGCAAACCAGCAGCGAGGAAACCCGAGATGTTAAGGAGATAGATGGAAGCAAGCCTAAAGACGAGCTTGTTCCGGAGCCAGTGGCTCCCAAGAGCAAGCGGCTGTCAAAGATTATAACAAGCCGCATTCAGTCAAGACAGGAGATCGCAGACGAGGATCCGACTTACGAGAAGGCAGAGATACTGACATCAGCCCGAGTGTCAGTAGCTGGCAGCTCTTCGCCGGCCCTGTCTGATACTGGTGGTCCGTTCCCACTAAGGAGATCATCAAGCGTGCACTCAGCGCGCATCATCGATGTCGCTGGTCCCAAGAGCCCCAGCGGGTCGCGCTCACCCTCAGCTGATGCTGCGGACCGTATCCGTCGGGCGAGTCTAACCATACCTCCAAGTAGTGGTCTCTCCAATGGTGTCAGCGCAGTTGATGCGCAGGCTCAGAACTCCCCTGCAACCTCAACTCGCCCAGGTCCAAAAAGTCGCTCTCCAGTTGATGCCATGCGAGGTTCTGTGCCAGGTGCTGCAACAATCTCCGAGTCTGATGAGGAGATGGATCGAAATAGAACCAGAGAGCAGAGGCCTCACAAGTATATTGCTTATCAGCCTTCCACGCCAACAGTTCCAGAGGCTGCCTCTCCCACCGAGGCCAAACGACCTCAAACTATTGTTGGATCTCCACATCACTCACCTGTTCTTCAACAATCTTCATCCAGTACCAAGGTGGTATCCACACGCCCTACAAGCACCTCTGAAACCGTCCCTGAGAAGTCTGCTGAAGTTCTACGAAAGCCGGCAGGCTACTCAAACCGACATGCTGCACGAAATGACAAAGTACCTACTTCTCCCACTCACAGTATTGGCATGGTATCCATAGAGCGATCAAGGACAAGGGACTCGGACGAAGATGGAGGCAACGCGCAGACCCCTCGGCCTACTCACACTTCAGGCTCATCAGCCTCCTCAGGTACAAGTCGACTTAAAGCTGTTCGAACTTCCGAGGACAATGGAAGCCGTTCAGCCATGGCCCGTAACTTTGAAGAGCTTATCCAGAGCAACCAAACCATCACATATACGCTGACGCCTGAGAACATGCGCAACATGGATGTGAGTAAAATACGCATTGCCGAAAGAGAACGGATCTAACGATGACGATAGCACAAGCAGTCACTCGACAATTCGGTGTTTAAGGGATCCATGAAGAATGATGACACTCGTGCTCACAACCGTTCCAGGTCTTCTTCTGCGGCAACCGACATGAAGAGGGCATCTCCCCATCACCGGGTTGGTGACGATAGAATGAAGCCATTGCCTTCTCCTAACCCGAACAGACCACGTATGTCTGCTGCCCCAAGAGACGCTCGGGTTCCCAGCGAATCTACCGCGGATTTTGCAGAATTTATCAAATCTACTGGTCCCGCAGGAGACAGCCGTCCTATGCAACTTCGAAATGTGAGCAGCCCAAATACCCCCGGCAAGACCAGCCTCGATAGTCGTCGTGTTTCATCGGCAAGCAATCGGAATCGATATATGCCCCGTGATGCTGTGGTCGAGTCCCGTAGTGGCAGCTCGGATCTAATCGACTTTATCCGACAGGGACCCCCAGGCGCAAATAGCAACCGTATTCCTCACAATATCGCACCTTGGGATACAACCGGTACCGAAGAACCAGCAGGTGGTAAGGCTGTAGACGCCAACATTCCCGATATCCGGTACAGCCAGGCTTCGACTCACGGCACCGAGTCGTCAATGCCTTCGATTCACTCATCTATCAACTCCAACACGGCCCTTTTGAAGAACAAAGGACAGCCTGCTCCAACGAGTAAGATGTTTGATGAAGATGATATGATGCCTAAACGCAAGACTCGACGTGTCAAGGACCCCTACGCCATTGACTTTAGCGACGACGAGGATGACGAAGTCTTGCTTGCAACGCCAAAGCCTCCTGCTAAGAAGGAGGAGAGCTTGGCGGAGTTTCTCATGAACTATGAGCCTCCACCGGAGCCTGTCACGACACCGATCTCACAAAAGATACCAAAGAAGAAAGCGAGTGCACCCAGCCTGATTGGGAGATTCACTCGCAAGGAGAGCAATCACTCTAACACTGCACCTGCATCACCCCAAGGCAACGACACTCGATCTCTTAGTAGCCGTGCTGGTTTCAGGAATTATATTCCCATCCAGGTCAACGTCCCATCGGGATATGACAAATACGGGATGCCCACTGGTGAGAACTCATCTCGCCCTTCACAGCCTGCCTCGTCAGCTTCCTCTGGACGTCGTGTTCCCATGAAGAAGTTTGAGCCTCGAGATGCAGTATCGAACGTTTCACGTACCTCGGATTTGGCAGCGTTCCTGCGCACTTCAGAGCCTCCGCCAGAGCCTGTGATGGCCCCTCCACCTCCCAAGGAGGAGAGCAGCAGTAGTCTATCGAAGATGTTCAGTCGCCGAAAGAAGTAATCGATGACAACACATGTTGTCTATGCCTACGACCTGATTTATTCTTTTGCCGTCACTTTTTGCGGGGGGGGGGAATGTTCTAGACGAGGGTCTATACGCTCATGAGTTCATGTACTTCTTAATCTTTATTACTGGATGTCGAATTGGGATCTGGGGTCTCAGGACCTGGGTCCAAAACGCGGTTCATACCGTCCATGGGCGGATTCCTTAGTTTGGCCTTTTAATTCTTGTCATAGGGGCATCAGCATGCATTTTGATGTGTCTTCTGGATGTCTCAGGAATGGGTTTCGTGTCTTGTTGTCGGTCGACGCGCAGAAGAGGGACGGCATGGGGTTTCTCTGATGAGGGTGAACATGTACAAGGAAGATGTATGGGGTGAATACGCTTCAAATTCTTGCACTTTTGACTCTACGGGACGTGTCTACACATATTCGAAGCATGTATTACACTGTCAACCCTCAATTTCGAAGTTACAGTCACAACAAGTATCTGTTTATATCAGACGATGATGAAACATGATATGATGTATCATACCCTCGAACCCTCGGAGTGTGCTAGCTCCCATAAGCATAACCGAAAGACAGCTGAGTCGACCGCCCCAAGCCGACATTTGCGTATGTTGTGACACAGACCGAACGAGGAATACACTGCCATGACTTGGCTGGCATGTAGTGTTGCGATGTCCCTCATTTTGCTTGCCTCATCATTACGATTCGAAGATTTGAAAGCGGAGGATGTGTGTGTGGTTAGAGTCTAGCTAGGATCTCGACAGTTCAAGCTCTGGTAGAAATTACTGGCCACTAAGCTACCTAAGTGGTTACCTATCACATTGGAATTTACAATCATATGTCAAGTGACAAAGTCGGATCTAGCTTCGCGGCATTGACGGACGCAGTCGCCTTGTCAAGGCTGGGGGTTGGCTTCAGGCGAACCATCCATCAGACGGGAGGCTGAGGCTCTTCATTCTAACGCCCTCAATGACTTGTAAAAGGGTTGCATGAAACTGTCAGAAGAACTCATACGTCAATCCTGGGTCTTTAGTGAGCTGCCGTGTCACTCAAGCTGGCATTGTTTGTACCTGGGCCTAGCATGAGGTTGCGTTGCCTGAACCCGCCTCTACATGAAACTGGGTGTGTACACAAGATTTACATATATACATTCATGAACGAATCGCCTGCATATGACATGATTGTCTTGGACCGTCTTGTTTCCTTGCCGAGAATTCACTGCATCACTGTGGCTTCATGTATAATCCCGTGAGGTTCTATTATCACTGACTATAGTATCCCATATTTGTAGAAATGTGTTGCTACAAGACGATCCCTGACAGCCCAGGCTATGGAAGGCCTCAAGGTCACGCAACAGAACTGAGGCCTCTTCCACACACATACACGCACGCACGCGCACGAGTTCATCGCCAAGGGCATGGATATGAGAGATCGAAACCATGTGCATTCCCGTTTCCCATACTCATCGTCTGGTAAAGCGAGGGGCGCGATCTCACAAAGTTGGCAAATGCGTTGGGATCATCCTTTCCTGGCGATGCGGACTGACCAAAATCCTGGTTTGATGACCATAGTATGCCTTTCTGTCCGCTGCTTGTCTCCGAATGGCCAGAGGCACCGAGATGGCCATCTGCGCCTTGAGTCTGTGTTGCATAATTCGGAAAGCCATTAAGAACATATTCTGGGTCGAACGAAATGAGGACGATGGGCCTCAATTGTCCGTAGGCCATATGAGTTGGTGAATACACCAAGATTCGCTCATCCATAGACCATTCGATCCCTTGAATAGGCTGGACGGGGTTGACAACTCCTTGGAGCTGAGCCGAGTCGTTATGATAGTGGCCTGTTTCTTGGTCTCGTGGCCATGTATTGACTGACGGTTCTCGTTTCTTGGGCTGTACTCTGAGCTGCATCATCGAGTCAGGACTGTAAGCCTCAGAAACAAGGTCGATGAAAGCATCGCACGATGGGTTGTATGAACGCACAAAGCATTCTTGGAGGGTGTATGTTTTGGCATCAGATGGGCCGTCCCCAATGTGGATCGTCTCACTTGATCGTTCTTCAATATGGTTCTCACTGCTCCATTCATCTCCTTCGAGGCTGTCCACAGTCGACTCTGGCGGAGTGGGCAGAGAAGGCTCTGGCTGAGGGGCTTCTTCTTGTTTATCAAAGTGAAGCTCCTTTTTGTAGCACGTCCTCTGGCTGCCTGCATTTCCCGGGAACCACTCCTTTCGAGTCTCGACAATGAAGAGGTTCCCTGTTTTCTCGTCTTTAGTGAGCTGCAGTGAAGTCCACCGCTCGTCTACTGCGCCCTCTGAGTCATGAAGACGCCATAGGTTGCACATGGGAGGCTTCTCGCAACTTCCGTGGACCGCATTGTCCACGGGGAACCTCACAACTTGGTAGAAGTTATTGCGCATTCCGTCATCGGCTTCTGTTCTGAACGTGTTCGAAACACAGTAAAACTGACCATCGATTATTTCAAAGCAGACGTCAGACCCTATACTCTCCCCTTCAAGGTCCCATAGAAACAGCTGCGAATCAGCCCACTTGCGAGTCTGGAGATTGAGGCAGTGAATGCCCCATCTGTAGCTACCGTCTAGCGTGGCATGTGATTTTGAACCCCAGAACAGATAATTCTTGTCATTACGTACAAATAGCGGGTGTCTTGAACACGGCCTTTGTACGACAACCCATGTGGGAGATTCTCTGAGCTCGAAGATGACAAGCCAACTGCTGGTGGTTGAGTCTTGGAGAACTTGAGTGGCAAGGCATGACAAGACGCCCTCGGCGTAGTAAAGGGGTTCAAAGGTGTGCGGTCTTTGACAGTCGTAGTCTCTTACTGCGAGCTTGAGAAGTAGCGGAACATCGACTATCCTTTCAGACGTGAACTTTTTGTCGAGCGTGCTGAGGACGCGGAGATGGTTGCTATTAACAGTGTAGCACAAGTGCCCATTCGTATAAATGAAACGATCTGCCATGGCAACTATAGCAACCATCCATGGTTCCGCTACCTGGACAGCTATTCGCCGCTTAGCAAGCTTACGGAATGACCTTGGGAAGTCCTTGGTCGACTGCGCCTCCTGAGCCTCTGCGGAATACGGTGCCTTCTGAGATGTTGTCAGCGGGGACTAAGCTCACCAAGACAAGAGGCTGGAACGAACCAAGAGTGCAAGGCGACACATTCGTCTATCGTAGAGAATGTAGGTCAAGGATTTGCAGGACAGAGCCAAGTTGAACACATCTTCAACGTTGAGCAACTCAACAAGAAGAGAAACAATCTCGACAGGTAGTTTGAGAATGCTCATGGCGATGCTGCGAGGAGAGAGCGAGGAGACAAGATCCTGTTGAGTGGTGTGTGTTCATGTTCACAAGCGACAAGATATACCGAGATGTATACAGGATACGACGCTATTCACAGTGCTCCGGTAGTTATTAAGTCCCTCATTACAGGAGAAGAGGGGAGCAGAGCCGCAAGAGCCCTCAAGTTCCGAGTCGCGATTTCACAGCCTTATCACGGGTCCAAGGAGCCTACCCCTGCCCAGAGGAATGCCAACGAATTCTTGGACGCCCCATGTCTCTGCTCTCGAATTCGATTAGTTCAAAAAGAGCAATCATAGCGAGTTGGGAATTCGTGGTTGGTTGGTGTTTGGGTCAAGAGCAAGTTTCGTAGGGAATGAGGCTCTTTTTTTTTCGCTGACGACCGCTTAGAAGAGTCTAAGCTCGTGTGCTACATCTTTCGAGAATAGTGCCATTGCTGTTCGTTTTCTTCTCTTTTTCTCTATTCAGGTCAAGGTGACCAGAGCTTGACCTCGATGTGCAAGTCATCGGCGTCACGAGGATATCGAGATGGTGTAGAGTCCAAGTCAGGTTACGCATGTGTCTTCAGAGTATGTCAATAACGTATAAGAGACAAGGCAACAACAGATTGACTTGACCCGTCGTTGCACTAAGCAATTAGTCTCGCGGCGCAGTTGGATTATTCGTCGTACTAACGATGGACATGGCGTAACTAGGTAGTTCTAGAAAGTGAAAAAAAAAAAAAAAAAAAAAAAAAAAAGAGGCTCTGCTGGTGTTGTACGGCGGTTCAATTCTAAGAACTAGGTACAGTCGATATTTTACAAGCCTGCCACTCACTACGCGAGGCAAACCCGACAGGTAAGTATATACATATGTACTCCAGTCTTGTTGTTGAGCTGAGCTTGGAGCCAACCTCAGCTCAACAACAACTCTCATGAATATCATGACTTTACCCTGAAGCAACTGTTCGCGGCGCGATGGGTATTCAGCTGCGAAATCAGGCTGTGGTACCTGCTGAGAGTATTGGTTGCCCATTCCATTCAGCCAATATTCCAGGATTGGCCAATTACATGGCATCTTTCATGTCCTGACATGCATGTTTTGATGGTGTAGGCCCCCTGTTGAGATCCCTGAGGGGTCAACCCCATTTTTGAGCCTCATTCAACCTCGTCAAAATCTGATACGCGTGATTCAGTCCTTGACAAAAGCAGGCTCTAGCATACACGTATGTATGCAGTAACCAACTAACTAACATGCAGGCCCATGCCTCACTAACAACGCTTAGAGTATGCTGCGCGAGTTTAGAGCAATCAAGCCATGCTTGTCTGACATCCATGGCTAGATGCTTCCCCCAAGAGGCCGGCGACGTGTATCAATGCCTATTATTCATACAAGCCATACAAGCCCGACCCCTCCAATGGCCCACAACTAGAAGCTACAAGGCTATCGTGCACGGATTGGTTGAAAATATAGTAGTATTGTATTATCTGCTTCTACAGACAGCAAAAGCCCTATCCATTAACGCCAGAAATGCCCCCTCTTCTTTCTTGCTTGGCCTCAGAGGCTCCTTGCATCTCCAGAAACGAAGGGCCCTTACATTTCGTTTCCAGGACATCGAGCTAACACCACGGACTGTTATTTCATCTTCACGTCTCAGCTCCTGTGCTTCATCCATGCGCCTCGGCCTTCCCTATATCTACCTTTGACTGATGCTGTTCTCTGAATTATGGATGTCTATTGTAAGCAAGTTTTGGTGGGTTGTTTCGTTTCGTTTCGTTTCGTGTCCAGGTATAGAAGTAGTGGTAGTCTTATCACGGATTAGATCACCTTCGTGACCAATGCAACGATCACGCTCCTCAGCTGTTGAGCTGGACATAATTGCCTGTTCCTTGTTAGTACCTGATGAGATCTCGACAACTGACAGTACTCACCTGGGAACTGTCCCTCCTTGCCTTGCAGTCGTCCGCTCCACCATTCGTTCTCGTTCTGGGTCCTTGTAACAATCTCGATAACGTCACCAGCTCGGAAACTGAGATCGCCCTCGGCTTGCGCAGCGTAATCGTAAAGAGCCGTTACAGTCTCAACTCCCGGGGCGGTGAGGCGCATGGGTTTGGGCTTGGGCTTAGGAGGCGGTGGCTTCTTCTTGCCAGCGGCGATGGCAGCCAGGCCTGCATTCGCGCCTGTTGGGGGAGTGTACGGCGGAGGAGCGGCACCTTCGTTGGCGGTCGAGGCGGGGCGTTGATAGCCACCAATTTTGGGGCTCGTCACAGTGCTGCTTGACGGTTTGGAACCCTCGCCTCCCTGTGTAAGGAGTGCAGGCTGCTTGGGGCCTTCGAGGGCAGGCTTGGCCCCGTATCGCACAGGTCGCGGGCGACCGGTGGTCTTGAAGCGACAGATGGATAGTGCCTCGGCCTGTTCTTGAATGTCGCCGCGCTTCTCATGGAAAGCATCCTCAATGTCCAGCGTGAGATCGAAATAGCCGATGTCGCAATTTTGCATCTTCTCATGGAGTGTGTAGAAGATGTTGAGCTGCATATAGTAGAACGATTGGAAGAGGGGCTGGATAAATTCGCGCTCGAGCTGGAACAGCTTGGGTAGCTCGTCCTTGAGGAGGTCGTTGAAGTAGTTGAAGTCCTGGGTGGCTTGCTCGACGTCTCCTTCGGCCTTCCACATTGCCTTTTCGTCCTTGGCAGTGCGCTCTTTCTTGTCCTGCAGCTTCTTGAGGGTTGTGCGGTGTCGGTCGTAGTCAAGTCTCTTGTGTTCACGCTTTAGGGCGGTCTTGCGTATCACCTTGATGACGTCGAGCAACTCATTAGCGGGACGGATAATCCTAGATTCTATCATTTCCAACTCCGGTGCCAACGTCTCTTGCAGGTCCTTGACTACAGCCTCGTATTCTTCGCAAGCACGGATGCCTTCGGGGTTACCCTCAATCTTCATTGAGTCTGGGTCTGACATGCGACCGGAGATGGGCTTGTAGACTTCGGTCATGGCCTTGCTGAACTCGATCTGATGGGAAAGCATGCCATTGATGGACTCGAAGTACTTTTTGGACTCATCGTGGAGCTTCTTGGTCTCAGTCTCGAGTTCCTGGAAACGACGTTCGGCATCGATGTAGACAGCATCTTTGGTATGCTCGCCGATGTTGAATTTGGACTTGAACTGCTGCGGGGCCTAAGAGCAAGATATATGTCAGTACTTGACATCGTATGTCTCATCATGATGGCGTGTCTCGACTCTTCAGCCGCGCGCAAATGGCGTTTTGTGCGCGCGAGACATGCTGGAAATCCAAGCACCATCAAGTGAGGGGCACGGCTTACCCGAGTGAGGCTCTTCTGGAAGCCTTTGAAGCTCATGGCGAGAGCGCGGCGATAGTTGTAAGATTAATTTAGTGATGCTAGGAGTATAGTCGGTGGTGGGTGGAAGGAGAGTGAGTGAGTATCGCGAAAACCCTCAGATCGCGAGGCCGCCAAAGTTAGACGAGAGGGTAACTTATGAAGCTCTCGATTATGACAGGGCAGGACAGCCCAGAACATGACTGAGTGAGTCGTGGAACGGTGACGTCCACTTGTGTGGCTGTGTTTTAGTTTAGCTCCCAGGTTTAAGTTCCCTCACTGGGCCTTTTTTGCTGCCCAGCCCGTCCTATGCCTCGCTGCCAAGCCTGCCGGTTTCCGATGCTGTGGCTATCCAGAGGTTGAAGAAATAATAGGGGCACATGGGGGGAACTGAGGTGACAACGGCGGCAGTTCAAGGACTATTCAGTGCCTAGGTACCATCAGACTGACAGGGAAAATACTTAATAAGGCACGGAGTATATCAAAGTACCTTACTTAGATGTGAGTCCAGTTCTTATAATGTGGGTTTGTCTTGAACCATATACCTTTTGAAAGCACCAAGTTGACCGGAGCAATTAGGTACCTATGTAGTACCTGCTAATTCAGAGCTTGAATTTTAGAGAGTGACCTTAGGGGATCATAGCCACTGCGTCCACTGCGTCATGGGCGTTGCGTCACTCTTGACAGCTTTCAGGGATCAATCTCTCATTTGGGCCACAGGTCGGGTCGAAGGCGTTGCACCTGAGCCATAATGGAAGCCCTTTCATTCTTTTACATACTACTTACCTAGGTACAGTACTGCAAGTAGGTACCTAGTTCAGCCTTGGGGAATGGGAAGCCAATGCCCGGAGAGGCACATACATAAGATAATATGATACGCCGATGCCTATCGGGTTCGGTGAATTGAAGGTTCAATGAAAACTCCGCCAGCACCGCAGAACAAGTTCTGACTGATTGTGCTGGGGTTCTTGATGTTGAGGCTCTGAACTGAACCGAACCGACAGCCTGCATACCTGCTGTAGAGAGCAGACTATACCTGGAAAGACCCTGCAAAGAACGTTCGTTGCATTGATTGCCTCCCGTTACTGTTCACATATCGCCACGAAATAATGACTCTTCCATCTTCTCCTCAACGGTTTCGGCTTCTCCTCCGCCGTAACCTAGGACCTAAAGAGCGCACCTTCTGCCGCTCCCCGGCTTTTTCAACCAATGGCCGTGCCGAATCTGCCGGATGCTTATCACCGAGGGCCCCGAGCCGACAAGCTAATGACAAATCTTGGACCTGGAGCTCAACGCCTCCTCCACCAAAATTCACTTCTTCTCTTCTTCTTCTTCCCACTGGCTTAGCTTGACGTTTCTTCGTCCTTGCAACTGCCAGACATTCAATTCATAATGTCTTCCAATATCGCTTCATGCGCCCTGCGCTCGGCGGGCCGAGTTGGCCTGAGCCCAGCCTCTCGCGTTACTGTAGCTCCTCTGCGAGGTATGGCTCGCGCAGCTGTCGTGGCGAGGCGCACATCACGACGTGGATACGTATCGGAGACCAAGAGGGACAATGCTCAGGTTGAGACGGCTATCAAGCTCGACAAGAAGGCCTTTGCTGACATCCCTCCGCCTGATACTCCTTCCAATGCTAGCGTTAGTCCAATGGCTGGTAAGTGCATCTTGATCAG